CCCTCCCGCTCCGGCCCGCGGCGCCGGGACTCACGCGGCTGATCGCGGAAGTGCGCGCGCGGAACTACATTTCCCAGACTCCCGCTCGCCCCGGAACTACATCTCCCCCAGGGCTCTGCGGCGCGCCTCTTCCGATTGGCAGTTCCGTGGTTTCCGGTTGACAGCCCCTCGGCGCTGCCTGGGGTTCCTGCGTCAGAGACCCGGGATAGAGTCTGCGCTGCCCAAAATGTATGTGTGAGTGAGCGTACGTGTGTCACCAGGAAGAAACTTATGTGTCCATTTCATATGCTTTAGCTTCCCATGAATGCTGTTACCGACAGAAAACATTAAATCTTCAAGTTGTTGATCTTGGTCTCAGGGCATCATTATTAAATAACTGGAAAACTGCACTAGCTGGAAGCCTCCCTGAACATTCTTAGGAAATGTTCAGGAGCACAGAACTACACGAGGTGGACAGCGTCTTCCCAAGACCAACAGAACAGGATCACCTCTGCAGCAGATCGTCAGACTTGCTGTTTACTTCATCCTCTATCAGTTACGGTTTAGATTGCTTATAGACACTAGTTACATGGTACATATGATACTGGATAGACTCCTTATCCTTAATATTGTTCTTTGTGGCTCAGTCTTTGGGACGAGTCCACACCTTGTCACAATTTGCTGATGATTTGACTAAAACTGATAGTTTCCAGGTGCCTGGGTGGCTCAGTCGGTTAAATGTCTGCCTTCAGCTCAGGTCATGATCCCAGAGTCCCCAGATCGAGCCCCACATGGGGCTCCCTGCTCAGTGGGGGAGTCGGCTTCTCCTTCTGCCCCTCACTCCGCTGTCGTGCTCTCTCACTCTCTCTCAAATAAATAAATATAATCTTAAAAAAAAAAAAGAAATTAGTGCCAAAGTAAGTTGGGTGGAAAGTAACTACAAACTTAACTGTCAGGTGTTGTTTTGTTTTTTTTTTTTAAGGTTTTCTTTATTTATTTGAGAGAGAGAGACACAGCGAGAGAGGGAACACAAGCAGGGGGAGTGGGAGAGGGAGAAGCAGGCTTCCCGCGGAGCAGGGAGCCTGATGCGGGGCTCAATCGCAGGACCCTGAGATGATGACCTGAGCCGAAGGCTGACACTTTACTGACTGAGCCAACCAGTGCCCCTGGTACTGATTTCTTGATAAATTAGTTGATTTCCTAAGTGAATTGGATCAAACCGCTAAGTGCGTTTTAAAAGACAAGGCTTTTTTTTTAAGTAGGCAGTTTATTTTTTTTTTCAAGTTTTTACTCAAATTCCAGTTAGTTTACATACAGCGTAACATTAGTTCAGGTGTAGAATCTGGTGATTCATCACTTACATACAACACCCAGTGCTCATCACAAGCGCCCTTCTCATTTAAGTAGGCAATTTAGTTTATCCCCCCATAGCTAGTTCTTTCAGACTTCACAATGGGGATGGGACCTGTTTTCTTCGTTTATTTTGGGTAAAATTGGATCTTGGCCTAGAAGTCTCTGATGTGTAATGAAGTCTTAATGGTATCTAAAGACTTTATTATGCTCATTAGGTTCATAGAGTCTTTCTTCAGTATGAATTCTCTGGTGTTTAATATGGCTTGAGCAATAACTAAAAATCTTCCCACATTATATATAGTTAGAAACTTTATATTTAGCATAAATATCCTGGCATTCAATAAGGGGTGAATGACAATTAAAGGACTGTCAATATATATTGCATTTAGAGGGGTTTTCTACCTTATGAGTTATTTCATGTTGTGTAATGTCTGTTCTGTATATGCGGGAATTATCTTCATAGAGTTTGATTCCAGCTTGAATTTTCTGATGTTGGGTTAGAAATCACTAAAATTTTTTTCAGATTTAAAATGTTCATGAGCCGGGTTCCTGGGTGGCTCAGTCGTTGGGCGTCTGCCTTCGGCTCAGGTCATGATCCCAGGGCGCTGGGATCGATCCCCGCATCAGGCTCCCTGCTCGGCGGGAAGCCTGCTTCTGTGTGTTCCCCTCTCTCTCGTTCTCTCTCTCTGTCAAATAAATAAAATAAAATCTTTAAAAAAGATAAAATGTTAATAAGCTTTCTCTCAAGTAAGAATTCTCAGATAAAGACTAAGTTTTGTGTATTGGCCAGCAGAAGACATTTTTTGCTTGGTGCTGAAATGTCTTTTGATTTTCCTTTTGCTCTGTATATAGCTTTTACATTCCTAATTTTCTCTGAATCAGGAACACTTAAGCTCATGGCTTAAAAGTTGTTCCATTATTTTGTGTTGGGATGAGTAATGTTCATAAATACCCTAGACTCCAAGTGTGAAACATGAAAGAAAAAAAACTACTTTGATTTACTACTTTGGAAGAAAGGAAATTTTTTTTTTTTAAGATTTATTTATGTTTAGAGCAAGCAAGAGAGAGAGCACAGGGGGAAGGGCAGAGGGAGAGGGAGTCCCACGCCGATTCTGCACTCAGCATGGAGCCCAGTATGGGGCTCGATCCCACGACCCTGAGATCACGACCTTGAGATCATGACCTGAGCAAAACCAAGAGTTGGATGCTCGACCGACTGCACCACCCAGGCACTCCTGGAAGGAAGGAAATTTCTATGTTAAAAGTACGATCATTAAACTTTCAATGATATCAATGAGACGTGACTGACAGACAGCTTTCAATTATGGATTTGTAATCTAAAAATTGGACAATAACACTGAAAATTAGAAGATTTTTGTGTAGGAAAGTGAGAAAGGATATTAGAGAAAGGGCTAAATCAGTGATTCTCACACTTTGGCAAGCATCATATTTACCTAGCAAATTTATTAAAAATACAAATGTCTAAATCTCATCCTCTGGATAAAGAACACATGTCTCAAAAACCTGGTTAAGTGATTTCATTGAATCCTAAACTTCGAAAACTACTGGATAAGATAAAGGGAAATAAAATAGGAAAACATGGCGAAGTTAAGGAATTGGAGAAGGCAATTTGGAATCATAGTCTTCACTGTATATCTGGAATCATGTAAGAAGTGGTGAACTCTCTTCCACCAGGCTGTAGTCCTTCTGTCCTCCAAAACATTCTGTATCTGTTTTGACACTTTAATTAATTAATTTATTTTATTTTTTATTTATTTATTAATATTTTATTTATTTGACACAGAGAGAGAGACAGCGAGAGAGGGGATACAAGCAGGGGGAGTGGGAGAGAGAGAAGCAGGCTTCCTGCTGAGCAGGGAGCCTGATGTGGGGCTCGATCCCAGAACCCTGGGATCATGACCTGAGCCGAAGGCAGATGCTTAACTGACTGAGCCACCCAGGTGCCCCTAATTTATTTATTTTAGAGAGAGAGAGAGGGAGAGAGAGGCTCAAGCAGATTCCCGCTGACTGTGGAGCCTGATGCAGGGCTCTGAGATCATGACCTGAGCCAAAACCAAGAGTCGGCTGCTTAACGACTGAGCCACCCAGGCACCCCAACATTTATCCTTTTTAAATATTGATTTATATCACTGCTGCTAACCGAAAACCGCCAGGGGCTTCTCTGCAACCATACACACTTCATAATGACAGAATAACAACAAATGTAATAATAGATAACATTTACTGAGTACTTTTATTTAAACCAGTGCCACAAAGCTATTTAATAGTAGGTCAAAAATTCAAACCTAGATGGTCTAAGTTGTGACTTGTAAAAGAAAAATATAACACAGGCCTATTTATAAAATCCATGTGAAATTTCAAGCTCCACTTTTCAGAATGAAATATAAAGAGAAATTTTTTCTGGCTAAAAAATGATTTAGGTCGCTCTATGTACCTGGTTGAACTCTGGAAATCATTATTGGTATAAATACTACTTTTCATCATGTTGTATTAGTATATACAATTGGTATATATTAAGTATAGGCAGTGATGCTACCCAGGGTATGTCTTTTTTTTTTTTTAAGGATTTTATTTATTTATTTGAGAGAGAGAGCACGTGTGCGAGAGAGAGGAAGTAGGGTGAAGAGCAGAGGGAGAAGCAGACACCCCGCCGAGCAGGGAGCCCGACACGGGACTCAATCCCTGGACTCTGGGATCATGACCTAAGCTGAAGGCAGATGCGCAACTGACCGAGCCACCCAGGTGCTCCTGGGTATGTCTTACCATGGTTTTGCCTAGTTCTGCTTAAAAGCTGGCTTTATAATAATACTCTGATTTTCCTGCAAAATCTGTAACCCATTTCAGCAGTCCTACCTAGATGGTTTTACTGCCTTTGGTGTAGCGGGTGCTCTGGCATACACTCTCCTTCAGGACGGAGGCCCTCATTTCTCCAGATGCCATAAATGGGGCCATAAATGAGTCCCTCTCAAGAAATTGCCCTCAGCTGGAGGGAGTTGCTTCACCAAAATTAGCCTCCTTGGGTTCAGCCCATACCCTAAAACTGGTCAATATAATGGTACAAAGTCCCCACTCCTTTACCTCAATTTTGTTCATCTCTGAACGGCCAATTTCAGAGATTTTGTGAGATTAGCTGAGGCCTCTGTTGTAAAAGCATCACTATTCAACTTTTTCTTCTGTCCAGTCCTGCTTCCCTCATTCCCTAACAGTGGTCGATCCTGAGAGCAGTCCCTAATACACCAGCTGCTTATAAGGTCTGTTTCCTGCAAAACTCAACCTCCTTCATGTGTATATTTATTGTTCCAGCTAGCTTATAAATCTGTTAGAAAAATAAATTTGTCTCATCCTTTGCCATGTCCCTTAGTATTAAAGTCCTAGACTTATATAGTAGATATTCTACAAGAACA